TATTTAGTAATGTAACTAATACTTATTAAACTTATTTTAGCATGATTTAGTACTTTTAAATTATGATCATTTTCATTATGACTTGTTAATTTGCAATATTTGTTTTACGCGATTTCATTATTATTATTTTTGTTGGATATTTTAGTGTCATTATCATATTATATTGTGTTATATTTTTAAGAAACATCTTAGATAGTTGTATTTTGGTAGGACTAAAGAAATATTTGAAGTACAAGTAAATTATATGTTCGTATGAATACTTTACCGGAAAAACCCGAAACAACCCGAAAAACCGAAAAACCCGAAAAAACCCGAGGTTGAAAAACCCGAGTTTTATTGGTTTGGTTTGGTTTATAAATTTAAAAATCCGACACAAATGGGTTGGTTTGATATTTGAAAAACCCGAACCAACCCGGCCATGTACACCCCTAGTAGACACACATGTTCTACATGATAATTTGTGTCGTACATGGTGTCCTATGTGTATTATGTCATGTAGGATTAGTGTGTCTACTTGTTCAACTCTATACAAGTTTAAGTCTCTACTTGTGCACATCCAAAGTTGGAGGGCTAGATGTCAGTTGAGACCAAATTAAAGGATACGTTTATATATTATGCAATTTTTTTATATATATATATACACAAAATATAGATAGAAATAATAAATAACCCAAAAAAAGGTTTACCCCCCTAACCTAATATTAATAAGATTAGAAATATATATTTTTGCACAACATGACGAAAAATATTTAATCTTTTCCCTGATTCATAATCATGTGAGATTGTGAGTTATTTGGTTGACGTTGCATATATATATATATATATATACATAAATCTTTTCTAAATAATACGATATTTATTTAGTTGATCGTGTGCATAAGAAAATTTATTTTCCATGCATGACTAATAGCTAGATGGCATTGCGAGCTTAAGGTAAATCCGCCCCTAATGGTGATCGTGAATATTAATGATGTAACCATCCTTATCTAAGAGTGTTAATTGATTCTCCTTCGTCGAAAAAAGCTACAACATTGTATCATATATTGAATCAGTAAAATTTACTCATGTGTTTATTTTTGTTTATGTTGTGATGTTTTCATAAAATTTCGATTTCAGCCCTGACTAGAGTGTTCATTAGAAATCAAAAAAATAAGTGACGATTTCACATTATTAGTCTTTTGTCCCCCATACTATAATTTTATTTCTTCTGTGATTATATTTTTAAAAAATATTATACAAAGAAAAGAACAAATTGTTTCTTTTTTCTGCATTGTTTTCCTTACTTTATTAAATAACAAGAAAATTAAATATTTTAAATTTTTCCCCTCAATGTTCAATATCCTTAATTAGAGATGCCTTAAATAAATTGGATTCACGGTAAAAAATTCAGATCGAGTAAAAGCTATGTAATAAAGACGATTTTATATTCGGATCAGGATTCAATCCTGAAACATATGATTAAAGGATGATAGAATACTTAAGTAAAAATAAGAAGGAAATCTTAACATTAGGGAAACATTTTTAACACAATATGATATATTGTACAACAAAACATTACATCATGACCAACCATTCATAGTAAATGAATGGCTTTATTCATACTTGTTACAAGCAAAGGGTCTTAAGTAGCAAGATTATTATTATCTTGTCACTTAATTTCAAAAGTTTACAATAATAATACACACAATTAATTATTTAGTTGTGAGTCTGGGCAGCCACATATTCTTCATAAGAGCAGCAGTATTTTTTGCATCCATATTTGGTTTTCTTGCAGCAACTATAACATTTTTTAGGTTTTCCATAGCCCTTACCATAGCCGCCACCATGATAATGTCCATCAACGTTGACCGCTACATCGATGAATTGTGAAGATTAATTAAACTAGCTTACACATACGATGAGTCATGACTAGTCTCTGAATTGAGCTTCAATTTATATGTCGTACTTTCCTTTTTATTATATTTCAAAATGAGTACTCCTTTTCCTATATATATTTAATTGTATATTTTTTAAGTTCAATGTAACAAAAGATCACAAAATTCGTAGGACATTTATAATATAATTTACACACCTTTAGTTTAGTTTAGCAAAGATTGGAAGGTTTATGCCTTGTAATTGAGACATATATTAAATGAAACAAAAGGAATGTATATTAAATGTCATGATCAAACTATAGCATTAGTGATTGAAATTTTTGGATTTGGTTTCCAATAATTTTTAAAAAGTAGACAAATTTTATGACCAAACATATTTATCTTCGCCCCCATCCTCATCCCCACACCCTCACCATCCAACCCCACCAATTATATATCTGTCTAGATTATATCACAATATTGAACACAAAAAAGTAAATAAAGAAGTCATTCATATTTTCTTACAAAATATATTTCATGAAAAACATTTTTTTTTATCGAACACACCCTAAGAGAGGGAACAAATGAGAAGAAATGCTTACCATTGGAAGTCTCAGCTGCCAACTCCCTAGCTGCAACCTCAGAGCTTATCATTAAGAAAATAGCCAAAAAAATACCAAGAAACATAATTGCCTTGGAACCCATTCTTTTTAATTTTTCTTTTGTTCAAAACTTAGTACTTATGAAATATGAAAATTGAGGGATGAAGAAACTAATGCATGTTTGGGCTCATTTATAATAAGATTTGAATGCATAAATAATTAGAGGTGTGAGGGGACACATGTACGGATTGCAATTATTTTATGGACCAAAGAAATGAGCTTGCTCTACAAGTGGCAGATAAATAGAGTGTTGATTTTATGGTGGAGTCGTAAGTAATATTTTGTTAAGATGAAAAAAACATAATATTTATAAATTGTATTTGTTTGTATTTTACAAATCTTAAATATTCAAAATAATCAAATTAAAAGTTAAAAATATCGAAACACCATTAGTAAAAGTAGAGAGGCACAAGTACATACGTTAATACTATAACACCATTATTAAAAGTAGAATGGCCAAAGTTTGTATATATTTCAGTCTTTTTTCCCTATAAAAAAAATAAGAATAGATAAAAATTTACTTATTTTTTCGAAAAGATATTTGTAAATATATCACATCAATATGACCAAGTGGCTTACGTACACCGTCCGACAAAACAAACTAAAAACAAAGATTAATACTTAGTAGATAATCAAACAACATTAAAATAACTTTAAAAAATAATATGCATGTGATGGGTATTATATATTTCGATAATAAATCGTCGTGTTAATAGTATATTTTTGGACAGTTATGCAAAAAAGTAATTTAAAATATGCTAACATGTAGGACTACCTTATCCTAAAATATCTAGAAATAGTGGTGTATATATACTCTTGGATTTGGTCAATACTCAAAGACTTTAAATGACGTATTTAATGTACAACGTATCAAGTTAAATAAGAGGGGCCAACTCTCTTCATTTGCTTTATAACTCAAGAAAAGTCTTACTAAAAAAACAAGTATAATACATGAAAATATTATTTTATTTTGACCTTAACCGATATTTATAACCTTTAATTTTGAATGTGTACTAATGGTAAACACTTAACTTTATATATAATAGAATAAGTAAACACACATGTTCTACATGATAATTTGTGTCGTACATGCGGTCCTACACGTATTATGTCATGTAGGATTAGTGTGTCTACTTGTTCAACTCTATACAAGTTTAAGTCTCTACTTGTGCACATCCAAAGTTGGAGGGCTAGATGTCAGTTGAGACCAAATTAAAGGATACGTTTATATTTTATGCTAATTTTTTTTTATATATATACACAAAATATAGATAGAAATAATAAATAACCCAAAAAAACGGTTTCCCCCCCTAACCTAATATTAATAAGATTAGAAATATATATTTTTGCACAACATGACGAAAATTATTTAATCTTTTCCCTGATTAATAATCATGTGAGATTGTGAGTTATTTGGTTGATGTTGCATATATATATATAAATCTTTTCTAAATAATACGATATTTATTTAGTTGATCATGTGCATAAGAAAATTTATTTTCCATGCATGACTAATAGCTAGATGGCATTGCGAGCTTAAGGTAAATCCGCCCCTAATGGTGATCGTGAATATTAATGATGTAACCATCCTTATCTAAGAGTGTTAATTGACTCTCCTTCGTCGAAAAAAGTTACTACATTGTATCATATATTGAATCATTAAAATTTACTCATGTGTTTATTTTTGTTTATATTGTGATGTTTTCATAAAATTTCGATTTCAGCCCTGACTAGAGTGTTCATTAGAAATCAAAAAATAAGTGATGATTTGACATTATTAGTCTTTTGTCCCCCATGCTTTAATTTTATTTCTTCTGTGATTATACTTTTAAAAAATATTAGACAAAGAAAAGAACAAATTGTTTCTTTTTTCTGCATTGTTTTCCTTACTTTATTAAATAACAAGAAAATTAAATATTTTAAATTTTCCCCTCGATGTTCAATATCCTTAGAGATGCCTTAAATAAATTGGATTCACGTTAAAAAATTCAGATCAAGTAAAACACTATGTAACAAAGACAATTCTATATTCGGATCAGGATTCAATCCTGAAATATATGATTAAAGGATGATAGAATATAATACTTAAAGTAAAAATAAGAAGAAAATCTTAACATTAGGGAAACATTTTTTAACACAATATGATATATTGTACAACAAAACATTACATCATGACCAACCATTCATAGTAAATGAATGGCTTTATTCATACTTGTTACAAGCAAAGGGTCTTAAGTAACAAGATTATTATTATCTTGTCACTTAATTTCAAAAGTTTACAATAATAATACACACAATTAATTATTTAGTTGTGAGTCTGGGCAGCCACATATTCTTCATAAGAGCAGCAGTATTTTATGCATCCATATTGTATTTTTTGCAGCAACTATGACATTTCTTAGGTTTTCCATAGCCCTCGTGATAGCCACCGCCATAATAATGTCCATCAACGTTTACCGCTGCATCGATGAATTGTGAAGATTAATTAAACTAGCTAACACGTACGATGAGTTATGACTAGTCTCTGAATTGAGCTTCAATTTATATGTCGTACTTTCCTTTTTATTATATTTCAAAATGAGTACTCCATTAACTATATATATTTAATTGTAATTAATTTTTTTAATTCCAATGTAACATAAGATCACAAAATTCATAGGACATTTATAATATAATTTACACGCCTTTAGTTTAGTTTAGCAAAGATTGGAAAGTTTATGGTATATTCTTAAACTTTATGCATAGTAATTGAGACATATAAAATGAAACAAAAGGAATGTATATTTAGTGTCATGATCAAACTATAGCATTATTAATTGAAATTTTGGGATTTCGTTTCCAATAATTTTCAAAAAGTAGACAAATTTTATGATCAAACATATTTATCTTCCCCCATCCTCATCCCACCGTCATCATCCAACCCCACCAATTATATATTTATCTAGATTATATCACAATATTAAACACAACAAAGTAAATAAAGAAGTCACTTATATTTTCTTACAAAATATTTTTCATGAAAACATTTTTTTTTTATCGAACACACCCTAAGAGAGGGAACAAATGAAAAGAAATGCTTACCATTGGAAGTCTCAGCTGCCAACTCCCTAGCTGCAACCTCAGAGCTTATCATTAAGAAAATAGCCAAAAAAAGACCAAGAAACATAATTGCCTTGGAACCCATTCTTTTTAATTTTTCTTTTGTTCAAAACTTAGTACTTATGAAATATGAAAATTGAGGGATGAAGAAACTAATGCATTTTTGGGCTCTATTTATAATAAGATTTGAATGCATAAATAATTAGAGGTGTGAGGGGATACATATACGGATTGCAATTATGTATGGACCAAAGAAATGAACAACTTGCTCTACAAGTGGTAGATAAATAGAGTGTTGATTTTATGGTGGAGTCGTAAGTAATATTTTGTTAAGATGAAAAAAACATAATATTTATAAATTGTATCTGTTTGTATTTTACAAATCTTAAATATTCAAAATAATCAAATTAAAAGTTAAAAATAATCAAAACACCATTAGTAAAAGTAGAAAGGCACAAGTACATACGTTAATACTATAACACCATTAGTAAAATTAAGTAGAATGGCTAAAGTTCGAATATATTTCAGACTTTTTCCCTATAAAAAAACATAAGAATAGATAAAAATTTACTTATTTTTTCGAAAAAATATTTGTAAATATATCACATCAATATGACCAAGTGGCTTACGTACACCATCCGACAAAACAAACTAAAAACAAAGATTAATACTTAGTAGAAAATCAAACATTAAAATAACTTTAAAAAATAATATGCATGTGATGGGTATTATATATTTCGATAATAAATCGTCGTGTTAATAGTATATTTTTGGATAGTTATGCAAAAAAGTAATTTAAAATATGCTAACTTGTAGGACTACCTTATCCTAAAATATCTAGAAATAGTGGTGTATATATACTCTTGGATTTGGTCAATACTCAAAGACTTTAAATGACGTATTTAATGACTCTTTTAATGTACAACGTATCAAGTTAAATAAGAGGGGCCAACTCTCTTTATTGCTTTATAACTCAAGAAAAGTCTTCTAAAAAAACAAGTATAATACATGAAAATATTATTTTATTTTGACCTTAATCGATATTTATAACCTTTAATTTTGGATGTGTACTAATGGTAAACACTTAAGTTTATATATAATAGAACAAGTAGATATACATGTCCTACATGATAATTTGTGTCGTACATGGTGTCCTATGCGTATTATGTCACGTAGGACTAGTGTGTCTACTTGTTCAACTCTATACAAGTTTAAGTCCCTACTTGTGCACATCCAAAGTTGGAGGGCTAGATGTCAGTTGAGACCAAATTAAAGGATACGTTTATATATTATGCAATTTTTTTTTTATATATATACACAAAATATAGATAGAAATAATAAATAACCCAAAAAAGGTTTCCCCCTAACCTAATATTAATAAGATTAGAAATATATATTTTTGCACAACATGACGAAAATTATTTATTCTTTTCCTTGATTCATAATCATGTGAGTTAGGGGTGTACATGACCGGGTTGGTTCGGATTTTTCAATTATCAAATCCAACCATTTGTGTTGAATTTTTAAATCTATAAACCAAACCAAATCAATAAAACTCGGGTTTTTCAACCTCGGATTTTTCGGGTTTTTCCGGTAAAGTATTCATACGAACATATAATTTACTTGTACTTCAAATATTTCTTTAGTCCTACCAAAATAGGCAAAATGATCTGGTGGACCCTTGTACTTGTATGCGTTTGTATTGTGAATTCTTCTACTTACCTCTTTGTCATATGGACCCCTGAACCCATCTAAACTCAACCTATTGAACCCTTTCAACTCATCGTGATTCTCAATCACGCTAATGTCATACGCTATGTCAGATAAAATTTGCCACATCATTTTTTTTTTATATAATAATTTCTTTTTTAACAAAAGAAAAATCATAAAGTTTTGATGTAATTTTGACAAATTAAATTTTAATTTATTATTTTAAATTAAAAGTTTGGGTCTCCTCACATCATCTTCCATTTTCACCGTGAAATGGCCCAACTGTCGGAAAAAGTCGCTGCTGTTGCCGCTCCTCTTGCCGGCGAGACCACAAATACGATCTCCCCACCAACCTCCATCTTCATCGCACACCCTTACCATTTTCTTTTCTCCTTCTCTAACCTCCACAAATCTAGAAACCCTAAGCCACCGCACTAGCTTCTCTCCCCTCACCATCACCGACCGATATGCTCTTCATCCTCTCCGGAGTATCAGAAGGCCAAGAAACCCCTTACTGTCTCCGGCATACAAATATTCTAGGAGGCTCCTCGCCGCCGTCTCAGTCGTCGTCGCAACTCTTGCCGGCGACCATACGTGCCCTCTTCCTCACCCGTCTTCATCTCCGTCGCACCATGGCCACCAGATCTGACCGAAAAACCTCTTCGCTGTCGTGACCAGATCCTACCCTCAACCGCCTCGTTCTTCTTCCACTGACCTGCGTCGTCTCTCTCTAGGTGCCAATGCGAAGATCTGCTAAAGAAGATGACAAGAGTGTGAAGAAGAAAGAAAAATGGATTGGACAGGGATGGAGATGGCCAAAAATGGATGTGAACCTGTTGGCGGAAGAAGAAAGCCTTTTTTAGTTATTTTTTTTAAAGTTTTTTTGTTTTATTGTTTTATTTTTTTTTAATTTTTTAATATTTTTTAAAACTTAAATAGGATATCACTCGCCTTAACGAGAGTGAATTCACACACTCTTGCCAACTCAACCATATTGATGCCACATAAGCCTAGTCAATGGTCAGAGGGGTTTGATAAATTGTGTTTTATAAGTTTAAGGGTTCAATTGATAAAGAGTTAAGTAGAAGGGTTCACAATACAAACTCATACAAGTACAGGGGTCTATTAGACCATTTCGCCACCAAAATACAACTATATAGGTAACAAGTACTCAAACAAGCTGTAAAAGTTCGGCAAATTCAGCAATAACAAAAAATAAAATATACAAAAGAACCCCATTTGTTCACTTATTTTTTTCATAATAATCATTCTGTATTTTTGTTTTC